AACTGGTCAGCTGCTGCCCACCGCCCAGCCTGATGGCATCCCCAGGCGGGACAGGGCTCAGGCTGAGTGCAGGGACAGGTGGCTGGGCCCGGAAGGCACCAGAAGCAGAGGAGCATGGCGTAGGGTTGGGTGGACGCTGCTTTGCCACTCGTCAGCTCTGTGGGCCAGTTGCTCGGCTGTCTGAGCCTCGGCTTCCTCATCTGGAGATGAGGTGGTCTCCTGGGCTGCATGAGGATGAGGTGATAGCACGCAGAGCCGCAGCACCAGGAGGCTCCGAAGACGCGGTTTTCTGTCAGGCAGGGCCTCCTGCAGCGTCAGGTCATCAGGACAGGGATGCAGTGTCCTCTGAGTTTGGGGACTTGCTGCTGGCCTGGATCTGGACGTCCTGTTCTGCTGTAGTGCCGTCTAGGCGTGCGTCTGGGCTGCCTGGGTCGAGCTTGGGGGTCATGTGAGGGAGGGTCTTTGTGTGGGGGTCACTGCCAGATATCCTGTTGAGCCAGGGTGGGCAGGGACCCCACCTCTCTGTGGTGTGGGGTTGGGGTGTACTTAGTGGATGAGGACCCAGCTCCTTCTGGGACACAGGCCCCGGGACACAGCGGGACCTCCTGGCCCAAGCGGCACAGACCATGGCCCAGTGGTCTTCACGCATGTGCTCAGGGAGTAGTGTTTCCGCAGGCTGTCGGGAGATGCACTGCCTTGGCCGCGAGTCTGCTCTGGGAGGGAGGGCGAGGCACTCTCCTGGTGCTGGCGGGCACCCCCTCCCTACCAAGCCTCTGAGAAGAGGTGGTCCATGCCCTGCTTCCCGTGGCTGTCTATCAGCCCTGGCTGTGATGAGCCGGGCACATTCCTGGGCCTGTCTCCTGTCCCCACCCATGTGCGCCTACCCGCCCTCTGGAGCAGGTTAGGGCTGTTTGGGAGGCCAGAGCTGGTTCCCAGCCCCCACCCAAGGAGCCCAGAGGGTCTGTGGCCTGGATCAGCGCTGGTCCAGTCTGCCTCTGGGACTGAGGGAGCGTGTGGGGTGGGGGCGGTGGGGGGAGGATGGCTGGGGGAGCTGCGGTGCCTCCTCTGCACATGCTGTGGTGGCCTGGGGCGGGGTGCGCCTGCGTGGTGAGGTCTGGGTGGGAGGAACAGCAGTGGTGGAGGCCGTTCTTCCTCTCCCTCCCCTCTTCCTACAGCTGGACTGGGGTGGGGGGTGGAAGGCGGGAGCCTGCTGCAGGGACGTGGAGGGGCACGGGGAGGCTGTGTGTGGGTGTCTCTTTGTACAGTGAAGGGGGGAGCCTCCTGCAGGAATGGGGGCACAGAGGAGGCTGTGGGTCTCTCCTTGTATAGTGGGGGGGGAGAGCCTCCTGCAGGGATAGGGGGCACAGAGGAGGCTGTGGGTCTCTTCTTGTACAGTGGCGGGGGTCCTCCTGCAGGGATGGAGGGGGTACGGAAGAGGCCATGGGTCTCTCTTTGCTTCTCCCCACAGTGTTCTCTGACCGGGTTGGCCCTCCCTAGGTGTCAGAGCGTTGGGATGGGACACTGCCCACAGCCCTCCATCTGCTGTGGCCCATGCTGCCCCCACCTCTTCGGCATTCAGGCCTGAGGTCCACATGGGTCACTGCAGGAGAAATGGGGCTGGCGGATGGGAACCTCAGCGTTGCACTCTGCTCCAGGTGGAGGAGAGGGGTTTTTCATCTGGGTGCCGGGGGGCCTTGGCGCCCCTCCTTTCAGGGCCCCGTAGAGAGCCGCTTCTGTGACTCGTGGCTGCACTGGCTGGATTGTTCTTGTCCCTGGAGCAGGAGGGGCACCCCTCCCTCTCTGGCTGCCCAGAAGTGGGGTAGCCAGGAGCTGGCTGGCTGCAGCTGAGGCTGTGCAGACTGAGGCCACAAGATCTAGAGTAGTGGCCGGGAGAGCTGAGGTACAGGCGGGGCTCCAAGGGTTGGAGGACACTGGGAGTTGAGGTGCTCATGGGCTGAAGCTGGCTAGGCCCCTTCATAGTTCCCCCTTTAAGAAGCTGCCCTGGACCTGCCCTGGCCTGGGGCCTGATCTGGGTCCTGCTCCACTCTGGGTCCTGAGTCCTGCTCTGGGTCCTGGTCCTCTTCTGCTCTGGGTCCTGAGTCCTGGTTCTGCTCTGGGTCCAGTTCCTGTTCTGCTGTGGGCCCTGAGTCCTGCTCCTGTTCCTGGTTCTGCTCTGGGTCCTGCTCTAGGTCCAGGTCGTGGTTCTGCTCTGGGTCCAGGTCCGGGGCCTGCTCTGGTCCTGAGTCCTGCTCCTGCTCCTGGTCCAGGTCCTGTTCTGCTGTGGGCCCTGAGTCCTGCTCCTGTTCCTGGTTCTGCTCTGGGTCCTGCTCTAGGTCCAGGTCGTGGTTCTGCTCTGGGTCCAGGTCCGGGGCCTGCTCTGGTCCTGAGTCCTGCTCCTGCTCCTGGTCCAGGTCCTATTCTGCTCTGGATTCAGGTCCGGGGCCTGCTCTGGTCCTGAGTCCTGCTCCTGGTCCTGGTCCAGGTCCTGTTCTGCTCTGGGTCCAGGTCCGGGGCCAGACTGGTTCTGAGTCCTGCCCCAGGTCCAGGTCCTGTTCTGTTCCTAGTCCTGCTCTGGGCAGCCCTGCACTTTCCGCTGGTGATGTGTGCTTTGTGGGGTGAGTGGGCCTGGGTGTGGGGAGGATGTTTGTGTCTGTCACTGCTGAACACGTCCAACAAACACTCAGGCGGGGCTCTGGGCTGGGCCGGGTTGACGGGGAGGAGCAGGCGGCATTTTGCTCCTGAGCTTGAAGCCCAGAAGGCGTACAGGTGCTCAAGTAATCACGGTGGAAGGGAGTCCCTGGGGGCTGCGGTGTCCCCTAGCGGGCTCTGAAAAACTCCCTGGTGGAAGGGACCCCTCAGGGACCATTCGGCACACGGGTGCCCCCATAGAGAGCTGCCCCCCCCTTGATGGACACGTGTTTGTTCAGGGAGAGCCTCATGTGGAACTGGGGAGCTCAGGGTTTGTTCTCTGTGGCGGGGGGGGGGGAGTGGCGCCACAGCTCTGTGCCCACTTCCCATGGGGGAGAAGCTGACGACAGCTACCGTCTGTAGGCCGCCCACCTGCCTGCCTGGCCTTGGGAGGGAGGCCAGGGTCCCTCCCCACACCCCCTCTTCCTTCCTTGGGCTGCTTGCCTTGTGTGGGCTCTGGGTGGGCCCTGGGTGCCCTTCAGGGCAGGATCCAGATGGTGGTCTGGGCCCCAGCACAGAGAGAAGCCTGTTCCAGGGCGGGCATGGGGGGTATATATGTGTGCTGCCTGGGGCTGCGTGTTGGGCGTGCGTGTGCGTGTGTGTGTGTATGTGTGCACGCACACGTGCGTGTTTGTGTGTGTGTGTGCGTGTAGGTGGTGGCACCAGCAGACACCTGTCTCCCTCTTGCCCGCCCCCCCCCCCGTCTTGTTTAGGCCCAGCTGCTGACTGCTGTGTCTGTGGTGGTGTCAGTGGGGGAGGGGAGGCAGGAAGCTGAGGTTTGTGAGTCAGAGCTTGTGGCCCCTCACCTCCGCCTCTGGCCCAGCAGCAACCTGCTGTGGGACAGTCCTGACGCTGTGCGTCCCTCTGTTCCCCAAAGAAGCAGTGGTCTCCCGGGTGCCGGCTGGCAACTTTGCCCTTAGGAGGACCTGGGAGACGAGGCTGTGAGGGCTGCGGGGTCTGCTCACCGTGCGGGGGGCCAGGGCGCCGGCTGCTCAGACACCCCTGTGCTCGCTCAAGTGCTCAGCCAGCTGCTGGCTGGGGGCAGGCGTGGCGTCTTTGAGGCTGCAGAGCACTTGCGCCGAGCCCCCTGCCCTGTCCAGCGAAGTAGTGGTAGCGACGTAGTGGCGCCGAGCTGGCCCAGGAGAGGCCCCATGCTGAGTGGGAGCTAGGGGAGGGGCACCGTGTCCACCCTCCTTGGTCATCTCTCCTGGTTTGGCTTTGCAGGAGGTGAGCGAGGGGCAGGATCTCTGGCCCACCCCGTGTGTGCCCTGGAGAGGGTTTTCGGAAGCCATCAGGGCCAACAGGCTGGGGGCACGGTGTGCAGGGGGACACAGGAACAGGCCCGATAGGGGTGAGAAGGAGGGCGCAGGCCCCCGGCCACCCTCTGAGAGGCCTCCCCCGACTTCCCAGCCCCCAGTGAGTTGCTGTCACCATGGCCATGAGTGCTGGGCCCCTGGCTCTCAGACCACTGCTGGGTGCCTTTTCAGGAGGTGACCTGAGACCAAGGCCCATCCTCCCTGCCCGCAGCTGCCCTCCTTGGTCCTGGTGGGGGGAGGGGCACTTGCTGAGCCTGGTCCCCCAGGGCCTGTGCATGGGCCAGACCGTCACGGGGCTCTGAGGCCCTGGGGGGGTGGCAGTGTGGGGGAGTGGGCTCGTGTGGTCTCTCCCCGGCACGGTGTCAGGCTGCTCCCGACCAGTGTTGGCCTTGGGGGGGGGGGGCCGGGGCCCGAGGCGTGTAGGTGTGTCCTGAGTGTTCTCTGGTGCGGACTGTGAACACGACACACTTGCTCACTGCCTCTGTCCCCGAGTGGTCCCAGGCCACGGGGCCATGGGGTGCAGGGCACCTCACCTGGGGCTGGAGTGCCTGGAATGGGCAGGGGAGCGAGCAGGTGTGAGGGGGCCGTGGGGTCCCCGGGCCCGGGTTGGTCGGGCGGTTCAGCAGCAGCTCCAGGAGGTCTGGCTGGGCCGAGCATTGGGGGCGGTGCTGGGCGGGGCCGGAAGGTGCTCTGGAGGCCTGCTTGTCCTCCTGGCCTGCCAGGCTTATCCTCGGCCCAGCCCAAGCTCTGTGAGGTCCAGTTCACAGCAGGGCCTCTGGGGTGCCCCTGACAGCCCCCAGGGTCTGTGGCTGCCCAGTGGCCTCTCCACCCAGCACTGTTTTTAGGGAAGTGATGCGTCTGGGAGCTGAGGCTGGTCTGGAGCCAGATGATGGCCCAGGTGGGGGACGTCTCCTCCTGGGGCCACAAGATAGCCTTCTCAGACCCTCAAGCCTCTCCTGACAGGGTGGGGGTGTGGGAGGTGGTAGGGTGCCCTGACCCCTGCTCTTGTCCCCAGGGAGTGGGGAAGGCCAGGGCCAGATCCTGCAGCGCTTTCCAGAGAAGGACTGGGAGGACAACCCATTTCCCCAGGGCATCGAGCTGGTGAGTGGGGAGAGGTGCTGCCCACGCCATGGAGCTGGTGGGGTGCTCCCCAGACCATGGAGCTGGGGGAGGAGTGCCCCCCAGGGCGTGGAGCTGGAGGGGAGGGGTGCTTGCCAGGGTGTGGAGCTGGGGGGAGAGGTGCTCCCCATGCCATGGAGCTGGTGGGTGGGGTGCTCCCCAGACCATGGAGCTAGGGGGAGGAGTGCTCCCCAGGCCATGGAGCTGGGGGGTGGGCTGCTCTCCTGACCATGGAGCTGGGGCGTGCTCCCCAGTGTGTGGAGCTGGGAGGAGGAGTGCTCCCCAGGCCGTGGAGCTGGGGGGTGGGGTGCTCCCCCAGGGTGTGGAGCTGGGAGAGGGGTGCTCCCCAGACCATGGAGCTGGGGGGAGGAGTACTCCCCAGGCCGTGGAGCTGGTGGGTGGTGTGCTCCCCAGGACGTGGAGCTGGAGGAAGGGGTGCTCCCCAGCCCGTGGTGCTGGGGGAAGGGTGCTCCCCAGGCCGTGGAGCTGGAGGAGAGGGGTGCTCCCCAGGGCGTGGAGCTGAAGGGGAGGGGTACTCCCCAGGCCATGGAGCTAGGGGGAGGGGTGCTCCCCAGGCCTTGGAGCAGGTGGGGGTAGAGTGTGGTATGGGCAAGCGGGGGCTACTACTGTTGGAGAGACGGGGTACCCCCAGTGCCCTCCTCTGTCCCCAGACTGTGCTGAAGGCTCAGCTGTGCCCCCACTCCCTGTGGGGCGGGGCCTGCCCTTGTACAAGGGGAGGTTAGGGTGACTCGAGGGTGGAGCATGGCCTGGCTGGGGAGGTGCCTGGTGTCTCCGTCATGCACATCACCCCTCGCTCATCGTGGGTGCTGGCCCAGAGGGAGGTCGTGCCCGAGCTGGGGTAGAACCCAGGCATCCTGGCTCCAGTACAGCCTGGGCAGCAAAGATGAGCGGGCAGAGGGCACTGACCCGCGGCCCCTCCCGCAGTTCTGCCAGCCCAGCGGATGGCAGCTGTGTGCCGAGCGGAACCCACCGACGTTCTTCGTTGCTGTCCTCACTGATATCAACTCCGAGCGGCACTACTGTGCCTGTCTGACCTTCTGGGAGCCTGCGGAGCCTGCCCAGGTCAGACTGGCCGCTTGGGCCAAGTCCCCCCATGCCCACCCTTTCCTGTCATGTCCCCTCCCCGTGGCTGAGTGGGTGCTGGGTGGGGGGCCTGCCTGTCAGAGCCAGGCCAACAGGGCTTCTGTGCTCAGGATGCCGTGTGTGCTGTGGACACCACAGGGAGTGACGAGTTGGCCGAGGAGGGGGGCCCTGTGCAACTCTCGCCCGTACCCCCAAGTCCCCCCGGCCAGCTGTTTGCTCCGAAGACCCTGGTGCTCGTGTCGAGGCTGGACCACACGGAGGTGTTCAGGGTGAGTTTGTGGGAGGCGTCCGGGGTGAGTTTGTGGGAGGCGTTCGGGGTGAGTTTGGGAGGCGTTCGGGTGAGTTTGTGGGAGGCGTTCGGGGTGAGTTTGTGGCCAGATGGGGCGGGGTGGGGCGGGGCCTCCTGCCCACTGTCGACGGTGCCTCTACTCCCCGACTGTGGTCACTGCAGAACAGCCTGGGGCTCATCTACACGGTCCACGTCGAGGGCCTGAGTGTGTCCCTGGAGAGCGTCATTGGGAACCTGCTGACCTGCACCATCCCCCTCGCTGGGGGCTCGCAGGTGGGTTTCCTCCACCACTGGCCCTCCTGGTACAGTCCCGTGCCCTCGCTCGTGGGCACAGGCCCCTCATAGCCCCCGAGTCCGGCCCGGCCTCCCCTCGGCTTGGTGTCCTCGACTCTGACCTTTCACTCCCGGGCGTGTGTCTGTCTGGCCTGCTCTCTGGACGTTGGTGTCCGACTGTCTATCCTGTTCCTCCCCGCTGTCCGTCTGCCCTTCGCGTGCCCGGTTGTGTGTCTAACGGTGTCTCTCTGCCTGTCTGTCCTGTGCAGCTGGACTCTGTTGAGGAAGGAGCGGTATGGACTCTTTTGTTGTTCCACCTACCCAGGGCCCGTCCCTGCGCCTGCGCCCCGGCCAGTCTGCCTCAGGGTCTGTTGGGCGCCAGGCTGTGGGGCCCGGGGCTCACGCAGTCTGGTCCTTTCTCCTTCAGAGAACCATCTCTCTGGGTGCAGGTGACCGGCAGGTCATCCAGACCCCGCTCACTGACTCGCTGCCCGTCAGCTGCTGCAGCGTGGCCCTCCTCTTCCGCCAGCTCGGTGAGCCCGCCTGCCTGCCCGCCCGCGGCACAGCCTCGTCCCCTGCAGCCCCTGTTTCTCGCTAGCGTGCGTGGGCCTGGGCCCAAGGTGGGGGCCCTTTCCTGCGCAGGTGGGGACCCAGGATGCCTCTCCAAGCCTGCACTCTTCCTCAGGCATCACCAACGTGCTGTCCTTGTTCTGTGCGGCGCTCACCGAGCACAAGATCCTCTTCTTGTCCCGGAGCTACCAGCGGCTCGCAGACGCGTGCCGGGGCCTCCTGGCACTGCTCTTCCCGCTGCGATACAGGTACCCCACCTCAGCCCACTCTGCCCCCCCGCCCATCTCCACTGCCCTGCTGCCCATGCCCCCTGCCCTGCCCCAGCTCCTCACCTGGCCCCTGTCCTGGGCCCCCAGCCCCTGCCCTGGCCTCCCAGCTCCTCGCATGGCCCCTGTCCTGGCCCCCCAGCCCCTGCCCTGGCCCCCTGCCCTGCCCCAGCTCCTCACCTGGCCCCTGTCCTGGGCCCCCAGCCCCTGCCCTGGACCCCCAGCTCCTCGCCTGGCCCCTGCCCTGGCCCCCCAGCCCCTGCCCCGGCCCCCTGCCCTGCCCCAGCTCCTCACCTGGCCCCTGCCCTGGCCCCCCAGCCCCTGCCTCTGCCCCACCCCGCCTGGGTGTGGCTCATGCACCGAGCCCTGTCCTGTTGCAGCTTCACCTACGTGCCCATCCTGCCGGCACAGCTCCTGGAGGTCCTCAGCACGCCCACGCCCTTCATAATTGGCGTCAACGCAGCCTTCCAGGCAGAGACCCAGGAACTGGTGAGGACTGTGCCATGTGGCTGCACAGCCTGCCTCATCCCTGGCGGGAAGTGTGAAAGCCGGGGCCCTGCTGACAGGCGCTGTGGTGCCCTGACCTCTCCTCCTGCCCACAGCTGGACGTGGTCATTGCTGACCTCGATGGGGGGACAGTGACTGTTCCTGAGTGTGTGCACATCCCGCCCCTGCCGGAGCCACTGCAGAGCCAAACGCACGGTGTTCTGAGCATGGTGAGGGCGGGCGTGGGGATGTGGGGGCCACAGGGACCTGGGGGGCAAAGCCGAGGCTACTTGCTGCTTGGAGGCCTCCCTGAGCCCTGCTGTCCCTGCTTCCTCAGGTCCTAGATCCGGAGCTGGAGCTGGCTGACCTCGCCTTCCCACCCCCCGTGACGTCCTCCTCCTCCCTGAAGATGCAGGTGGGTGCACTGCCCCCCACTCGGGCCCCGTGCCCCAGGGCACTCCCACTCGCAGTGCCTGGCGGCCCCCCTCCCAGGCTGCTGGCTAGTTAGGGGGGTCATGAGGGGCTGGCAGGGCCAGACCTCGGGGCCCTTGAGGCCATGTCGAGGGGCAGTCTGGACTTGGCACTGGGCCATGGGGAGCTGCTGGGGGCCCTGGGTGGGGGTCCTGGGGAGCTGAGGCGGGGCCTTCACCAGCACCACCCCCAGGACAAGGAGCTGCGTGCGGTCTTCCTGCGGCTCTTCGCTCAGCTCCTGCAGGGGTACCGCTGCTGCCTGCACATCGTCCGCATCCACCCTGAGCCCGTCATCCGCTTCCACAAGGTGGGCGCTTGGCCTGCTGGGGTGGCGGGGGTGACGCCTGGCCTGTGGGTCCTGAGGGCTGAGCCACTCGTGTGCCCCCAGGCAGCCTTCCTGGGCCAGCGGGGGCTGGTGGAGGATGACTTCCTGCTGAAGGTGCTGGAGGGCATGGCCTTTGCAGGCTTCGTGTCGGAGCGAGGGGTCCCCTACCGCGCCACGGACCTGTTTGATGAGGTGCACCCCTGCCCCGCCCCCCGAGCTAGAGGGGAATCTCTGCCCTGGCTACCCTGCCCGATCCTGCCCTTCCCATCTGGAGGGGGGGCCCGTGGCCCTGACCAGCCTTCCTGACCCTGCCTCCCTCCAGCTGGTGGCCCACGAGGTGGCACGGATGCGGGCAGATGAGAACTACCCCCAGCGAATCCTGCGCCACGTCAGGGAACTGGCGGAGCAGCTGTATAAGAACGTAAGGCGGGCAGGGCGGGTGGAGGAGGCTGAGGGGCAGCAGGCCGAGGCGGGGTGTGGGGCACTGTGCCTACTCCCTCCCACGCTGCCCCCGCCCCCAGGAGAACCCATACCCCGCGGTAACGATGCACAAGGTGCAGAGGCCGGTGGAGGCTGTCCACCTGCGAAGGACGCTGCGGCCCTTCCCCCGGCTGGACGAGGGCACCGTGCAGTGGATCGTGGACCAGGCCACCGCCAAGATGCAGGGCGCACCCCCGGCCGTGCGGGCTGAGAGGAAGACCACCGTGCCTTCGGGACCCCCCATGAGTGCGTCAGGGTCGGGTCTGGCGTCCCTGGGCCTCCCCGGCACAGCCGGGGGCGTGGGCTTGGCTGAGCGCCCTCTACTTCCACAGCTGCCATCCTGGAGCGGAGCAGCGGGCTCCACGCCAACAGTGCCCGCCGGCTGGAGGTGGTCCGCAACTGCATCTCCTACGTGTTTGAGGGGAAGATGCTGGAGGCCAAAAAGGTGGGCACAGCACGGGGAGCATGGGGGCAGCGCTGGGCCGCGGCTGGAGCGCTCCGTGGACCTCGCTGCCTGTGGGCGGCCAGAAGGGCAGGTGGATGTCCACCAGTCAGCCGTCCACTTTGGTCTCAGCGGACGGCCTCAGGAAGGTAGAGCAGTCTGCCAGCCAGTTTGAGCTCTGGCCTGGAGGGGAGGCTGAGCGGGGGTGGCCGCGCTTCAGGCTCCAGAAATTCAGAGGACTGGAGGTCTCCACTGTTAGGTTTTTTCCGCATCCTTCCCAGAAAAAATCGTGGGACCCTGCACGTGGTTTCTTGTTTCCATTTGTGGATGGTGGAGCTTGCATGCTGCTCCGTGCTGTGTGTTTGTCACCGGAAACCTCAGCTGTGGGGGGGCAGGGAGCCTGTAGGGAAGGGGCACACGTGGAGGGGGTGGAGGGGAGCGTGTGGAGGGCAGGAAGGGTGTGCATGGAGGGGAGGGGAGTGCGTGGGGCATGGAGGGGAGTACATGGGGGAGGGGAGTGCGTGGGGCCATGGGGGGTATGGAGGGGCGCG